GGGAACTGAAAATGTCTGGAAAACATCCATACGTTTCCCACATAGGAAAAAGTAGGTTAACCCCCCCCCCCCCCATCCTACCCCTTTTGGATATCCTAATACACATACTATTGTCAGAAACGAATCCCACCCCCCTGGATCGCTTGTGGAACAACCCACTCACACAATACAACTAGTCAAATATGATTGTCATTCTGGTGCATGAAAATGACTGCTGAATGTCACCATTCCAGTTCATCAGACTTTTTTGGCGAAATTTGAAATATGACTATATTTTACACACATGTAATAAGTATTCGCATGCATACTCCAGGATAAGAATTGTTTACAATTAGTTGTATCGTGTAAATGTTGGATTTGAAATCTGGAGTTTTAAACCATTTCTGCAATATATACTATGAAAATATAAGGATATAGAAAAAAAATCAGAACTTTATGCCATCAAACTGTGTTGTTTTTCTTTTTAGTTAATGCAAACACATCCTCCCTATCACCATATTTGAGCATCGATCCCTCGTATCTACAACAGGTAAACTATTTTACAATCCCAATCAACATTTTAGTACCGGTAATAAAATTTGTTAAAACTCTAAGTTATTATGTTAATACACGGTAATTTAATTATTTCCAGGGAAGTGGAGCAGAGTTTGTATTTCCAACGGACCAGAAGAAAACACGAACGTGGGGCGAGAGAATGTTCTCTGGTATCGGATCATCCTATCTCACAGGTTTGGTCCTTGGTGGAGGTTGGGGGTTCTACGAAGGTCTAAGAAATCCAGATGGCAAAACCATGAAACTAAGAATAAACAGGTTTTTGACCATTTTATTTAACCCCATCGAGTGGCAGCACTCTCCCGTTGACAAGTAAAACCATCTGGCGTTAGACAGAGTAAATAATAAAGTAAGGCGTAGACTGCAAGCGGTCCCTCCGTTCTCCTGAGGGACTGCTCTCATTGTAAGTAAGGTATGTTAGAGTGCATTGTCACTTAAAGGATTAAGGTTCATTATCCGCACATATCTTTTTAATTTTTTAAGAGTTCATTAAGAGAATTAAGAATTTATGAAATTTGTGTTTCATTTATTTAGCGTCTTAAATGGTTGTACGAGAAGAGGCCCATTTGTCGCAAACAATTTAGGCGTTTTAGCATTGATGTATTCCACATTGGATTATGGGATTGGTAAATTACGAGACAAAGAGGACCAGTATAATTCGATCGCTGCTGCCGTGTCAACTGGAGTGATATTTAAATCAACAGGTATAGGGATTAAAAATTAAAATGAAGACAGAGTTTCTTTACAAAAGTGGAAATCTTTTTAAGGGAATGTTAAGCCTATTTACACGATACGGCTATTCATACACAATTCTTATCCTGGTGTATGTACTTGAATAAATGAGTGTAAAGATAATGAACAGGAATAGCGGGTGTCAACAGTAGTTTACTAGTTTTTATATGCCAGAATACTTTTGTATACAACTAGTCATATTGTGTTAATGGTCCTCAAATCAGGGTGCATTGCCGCGGCACATTGCCATGGCAATGTGTCTTACTTCATTACTCCTCTACTGAAACTCTGGTTAAGATGATGTTTTCATAAACCAATGACAATGCATTGCCCTCTGTTTTCAGCTGGTGTCCGAGCTATTGGTATCGCGGCTGCCGTGGGAGGAAGCTTGGCTGTGATGTATAACTTTGGGGAAAAACTTTGGGCCGGCAAAGGCAGTAGTGTTATATCGCACCCCGGTTGGGCATAATTACAGAGTTCAATGTCTGTAAAATACTGAAGGGTAACCAGAATACGATATTCTGTTCAAGTAAAATATTATTTATCATAAATTCAAAGTATGGAACATGGATTGTAAAGTATACAAAATAACTTAAGCTGTGCGCACTATGGTCTGTATACAAGGTACTTTGGGCAGAATAAAACTATTCAACCTGCAGAATCTATTTTAAAAGTATTAATAAGCACCTCATTTTTAAACTGCAAACTATAAAAGTATTACAGCTCGAACAGGCAAGCCGAGGCCGCTTTTGCATATTTTCAAACTGAGCCAAAACCAATCATCAGCGGGTTATTTAGAGACTTTAGACCTATGGCTATGTCATAAGTTCATAACCGGAAAGTGTAAAAGTCGATATAACATGCTGGTAATTGGTTTTGGCTTAATTTGAAAACATCAAAAATATGCAAAAGCAGCCTCAGTTTGCCCATTCGAGCTGTAATAAGCATCTCATTTTTAAACTGCAAACTATAAAATTATTAATAAGCAACTCATTTTTAAACTACCTCGTGCAGTGAAAAGTAAAAGCTTGCCAGGGCAACAGTGATATATTCCCAATTCAAGACACTGACTCAATTGTCTTCTGACTCAAGTGGGTTTTTTCTTACTTTGTATATCCTGTACAAATATTGCAAACAATATTTTTAATAATAATTACATGACTTGCGAAGTTTCGATTTTATTAGTTAATTAAAGTTAATTAATAGATAAATCTTACAACTTACAGAAATTAAAATTACCATGATAAACCTAACCTGGTTTCGTCTTTGGGGGAGGGTGTGGCCATTATGTGGCTCACCTCAATATTAAACTCTCTACATATCGAGATATTTCTGCACATCTGGTGGGGGTTCCTGTTTTATATAGGGCGTGCGTGGAACATGCTGTTGTTGTGTGGGCCAGCAATGTGCGTTCATAGGTGGTCCATTGGGAAAAGCATGACCTCCAGACATCCATGGTTGAGACCCTAGGTTTTGTGGTCCCATCATGACATTTTGTGGGAATTCCTGTTTTATATATGATGGTGGTCGTTCTTGTACCATAGTATGTGGTTGACCAATAGGCCAGCGATGTTCGTTCATGGGGGGTCGATTGGGTGGGCCATTATTTCCTGCCATCCATGGTTGGGGCCTACCATCCCAATTTTGTTGACGTGGTGGCGGGGGTTGGGCAAAATTTTGAAATGGTGGTCTAAACATTCCATCATTTTGTGGAGGCGGTCCGAAATGTGGTGGTCCTTGGGGCATTATGAAATTCCTAAGTGGGGGTCCAATTAATGGTCCACCTTGAAACCTTGGTGGACAGGGTAAGTTTGGTTGGTGAAGGGGTGGTCCCATGAGTGGTGGGGGGAATGGTTGGTGTTGACCATCCAATTGAGAAGGGGGACCTCTTGGATTTGATGGTGGAATTCTGAGGGACGGCGGTGGTATTCTGAGGGGTGGTTTTTGGTCAGGTGGGACAAGTTGACCTGGCTGTTGATGTGGTGGGGGAACAAATCCACCTTCCTGTGAAGGTGCTGGGTAGACAAGCTGCTGACCTGTTTGCTGTTGTGGTGCAGTAACTGATGAATCTGATTGTTGATTTGCTGAGAGAATGAGCAGATGTCTGGGGGTTGGTTTTGTCTCAGGCTTTTTCCTGCACGGCTTGCATGGCCTTTGCTTTTTGCTGCTGGTAGCAGCTTCAGTTGTTCCTTGAAGGAAAAAACATTATTGAAATTAGTCAAGAATCAACTTTACTAGACATATACATATCCATGCGTCCAGTTTTGGGTGGTAATCTTGCAGTAAGCTAGCTAGATTCAAGTGAAGGCCCTTGTCAAAATGCTATTTATAGTTGTGGCTAATATGTCGTTGTAGAAGGGTTTTGTGGATGGAAATTTCGGATGTGATTGTTGTACATTTATTAGATCTAACCAGGAGTAGTTGCGAAAAATACAACTATATATAGACCCTCTGGCAGGAATCGAACCTGCGGTCCTGCGAAGAGCCTTCATTAATTCTCTCACAACAAGTCGAACAATGAAATGTTGAATTATTTTCCATATTCAGGTAGTGCTGACCAATGGAAGCTTGTATAAAAAAAATACCTTGTTCTTGCATGTGGGCTTGATTTCTAAAATGAAGAAAAAAGAACAGTTGTTTTAGTCAGCCCAGAACATGTCTTATAATTTTTGCTCCACTTTCTGAAACATACCGTTTTTTCAATTGGTACGCCCTTTTTCTCTCTGCTTTTGCATGTGATTCAGCTTCATCATCCGAGTACTCTACCAACTAAAGATGGAAACAAAGATGGTTTTTCAAGGACAAGCTCCTTCAACACACTACAGAGTAGCTTGGAATGGTAGATGCAGAGTTTGCAGCCAATATATCCTTACCCCAGCAGGCGGTTCTTGGTCATGTTTCCAGGATGCATCTGTTCCCCTGATACTGAAAAATAAACATGTCATTAGAGCTATCCAGTAAAATAAACTTAGTATAGGTTTCTTCCTGTAGAAAATGCTGCTGTAACTTACCTATTCAATTGTGAGACAAATACAAAATTTGTGAGGTCTTTTGTATCAGGAGCGAAGTACACAGTTTGTCCAATCTCAATGTTCGTTGATTTTATTTCATCTTCATTGTTAAATCTTACACAATAATGTGGAGATAGAACTTGGCCAAATATCTCAAAAACCTAAATCAAGTAAAAAAAATGAGAAAAGAGAGAACAGTTTAGAACTGAAATTAAATTTGCAACAATGGAATGCAACAGAATCCTGAATTTTAAATACAACTTTACAACAGTAATTAATCTTACTTTTCCAAATCCTAATCTGTTTTCCAAAAACAAAATACTATCAGCGTCAACTGCAGGAACACCCTCAAATGATTTGATAATTACTATAATAAAAATACAAGAGAATATTATTGATAATCGAAGTATTTCTAATAATAGAAATTTAAATACCTTACAAAATTTTAAATATTAATAAATATATTCCCACAAAAATTTTTTTTTAGTTATAGAGAGTGTGTTTTCTCACCCAATGCATCTTCCGAAAGTATACTTTCAATTTCCCCCAACGGTGTTATTTCCACAGATTCATCAACACACAGGTCTAGGGCATCCACGTGAGGAAGATCCTAGATGAATTTAATTGATGGTACTCAATATTGTAAGAATAATATGCAGACTAAGAAACATGTTTCCTAAAAATCAAAATCAAGTGAGCCTCAGTACCCTTTTGTTCTGCATGAGATTTCCATTCTCATTGAACTTGCCTTAGGACAGATCGTGGGTGAATTTAATTTTGTAAAGATAATACGCACAAACTAAGAAACATGGAAATAAAAATCCAGAGACTTACTGCAAAAGAGAGTTCACCCCTAGTTTGATGAGGACCAGCGGGATAACTTTTCTCCTGTTCCGCCATGTGTGATCTTGCCATGTGTCCATTGTCTTCGCTGTAACAGTAAAACAGTTTGTTCCATTAACCCATCGAGCCACAATGTGCCCTACTGATTTTTTTTACTTTTCTAACGCCGGACAATTTTACTTGTCAATGGGGAAGCTCTGCAGCTCAACGGGTTATTAAAGAACAGTTTGTTCTGTGAGGCTGTGGGTATTCCACAAAGCCTGACAAAGGTGGTGGCTCAGGGCAAGAGAATGGTGAAACCAAAGTTTATCTTTATTGTGGTCCACCTTGACTGGGGGGGGGTGCAGGCTCCACATTGATTGAAATAAAATATTAAGACATGGAGTTATTTTAAAAAATGGTCACCCTTTTACCTCTCCGAATCATCTGACAATGATTCACTGCTTGACGATGAGCTGTCTTCACTTGAATCACTTTCATCTGTAGATGTTGCTTCTTTTTCCTGGCCATTGGTTAACAATTGACGACCTTTGGTGGTACAAGTTGATAATCCCAAAACTCTCATGTCTTCTTGAACGACAGATAAAACGTGAAGTAGATCGTCGGAAATGGTGTTTGTTTGGCTAGCAGCTAAGTTATGTTCATTTGTAACTGAGGGTTGCCTTTGACGAGTTTGCTCAATTTTGACATTTTGCTCGTTAGGGACACTTTGCTTGTTAGGTGACTGATTGTTGCTAACAAGATGTTGGCAACAGCTATATTGAAATTTGTCCTTGATGTCTTTTTGAACTGTCGTCTCAGCATTATTATTACTGTTACAACTTTCGAGCACTTCCGTGTTTTTATATTGCTCTATGTTGCTATGACAACAGTCGGATGTAATCTCAGGTTTGATATCTTTTTCAACCAACATTTCTTGATTATTATTCTGAGAATTCTTCTCTTCTATATCGTTAGAACATTGCTCACTGTCTGAATTCTCAACATTCATTATATTCAAATTTCCATGAAGGTCATCATTTGCTGTTACACACCCGATCCTATTATCAGCCCTTCCAAACTTGGCAGATGACATCATATCTTCGGGCGCGACAGGCAAACTTGAATCTCCTTGTTTCCCATTGATACCATTTGTGTTGGTATCGGAACCATCAATCCTACCAATTTTATCACAAATATCAGCTAACGTCTGTTTAACGACTTCAAAATCATTATATTGATTTGCAGAATCAAGACCAACTTCCGAAGTACCATCACCACTCATTTCTGGTTTCAGATCAGTGTCACCACATAATGGTACCATATCATTTGGTACTATTGGTACGTTTGAAATGCATTGATTTGTATCGACCTCATTCGACAAAGAACTACAATTTTCCTCTGTGCAAAGGTTTTCAGAAACCCCGTGCAACATTTGCCCTGCACTTCCAAAATCATCGCTGTTCTGCTCGCAGTGTGAAGCCATATATTACTAATATTGTATACACTTACAGACTTTTATGTACTGTATAAATACAGAAATATATATAGTATCTACGCTTACAGTTAATATATGTAGCGTTCACGAAAAGCTAGCGATTTTACATGTAATAGACGTAGTTCCTTTATCTTGAAACAAAACAACTTAATTGGATCGCATTTCGCTCCTCTTTTTACCAAAAGCGAAACATTTTCATTCCAAAATTGTTACTCCGTGAACTCCATGTGCTTTTGTTGCTTTGCATAAATTTACAAAAATTGCAAACTACGCTGAAATTGCGTAACTCTCCCAGGGTAGGATCAGGATTGAAAATATTTAACCCATGAATATTTCTTATTTTATTGTGATACAAAGCTACATTTTCTAACGCCTTGTACAATAAAGAAATAATTTTACCGTATTATTGAAATACTAGTCTAAAATTGCCTCAAATATGCTGAACTTTACTCCAATTGTTTACTCTCCCTACCCTAGTTAGGAGTATTGTTAATTTGCAGAACTTTCAATTCCTTGAAACTTTTTTAAATTTCCTCAATCTCCCATGAAGCTTTGCGAGCGTCGAGCTCGTTCTTTTCCGCCATATTGGCAATAACAAGGTATTTTAAAAATGTTTTTGAATGGAATCCCTTTCAATCCCACTATTTCTGCTTGCTTTTCCCCACTTTTGCAAACGGCTTTGTAAAGTACAACACTTCCTCTTTAATTTCGTGCAATTATTTTTCTCGTAGATGGCCCAACGGCTAACTTTAAGGCGACGTTTGTCATACAATACTAATTCAAATAGCAGGCGAATGTAAGCATACTGTTAAATTTTATGCCAAAAAAATTGACTATGTGAGGATTTTATAGTTTCTACGTTAACCTGTATTTAATATTTTCTTTCACATTTTTCTTTGAATAGCTCTAAAACCCCAGGTATGTTCCAAATTATCGAATATAAAATCGTGACTCATCTTCTTGACTTGGTAGTTTACTACCAACAAAGGAATCAAATGCTCGTAGCCAATCATAGGGATGTTGGTGGTTCTGTTATTTGCTTAGTGTGCGCATTTCACCCCTCAGATTTGGGGTTGATTCCTGTAATTTGCAGCTGTTGATTATAATTTCGCCTCAGTTGCATCTGATTCAGGAAATTTATGATTGCCTGACTCACTGACTGGACAGTTTGGAAATTGCACACCAGAGATTTTAAAAATTTACTAGTACACATACAGAAAGCATCAAAATTGTGTACTTGATATCTCGGTTGTGTGATACAAACTTGACCTGATTGGAATGTTTGGAAATTGCACACCTGCCTGTCTTCATTCCATGTAGGCCACACCGAAGATCTTTTGGTGTGGGTTTCGACTTGCAAGCACGCAATCCCATCAAGGTTGACACATAATCAGTGCTGTTCAAGACTAACACCCGTATTCTAAAAGCACACTCAATGAGTGGAAGTTCAATCTGAGCTTCCCTTGAGTGTTAATGCTCACTAATTTTTGAATAGCTGGAGCGTGAATAGTTGTATAGTAAGGTACGACACTAACCCTCCAGCAAAAACAGCAATGACACTTGAGAGAAGTTCAGATTGAACTTCCACTCATTTAGTGTGAGTGAGCTTTCAGGGCTTTCAGAATCATTTTTAGTAAGCGGCTGTGCGATAAATCTTGTAGCGGCCGCCAGAGTTCTGGCGGGTTTTGAAAGCCCTGGCTTTTAGAATACGGGCGTAAAACTTGAAATCGGAAATTTTTCTTCAGGATGAGGTTTACATGGGATACAGCTACCGCGGCACTCCCGAGAGATTTCAAAAATTGTTAATAAATACAGAAAATATCAAAATTGTGTGCCCGATACATAATGGGTTGTATGATACAAACTCTCCACACTGCCAGTTGCATGTGAGAAAACTGCTTACAATACCAAATAACCACAGTTGAATGTATGCTTGGGCTGCTGCAGAGTATATTACAAGTCCATGTGACCTTGTCTTTTACTCCAATGCGATACTACTGACCACTTAACAGTTTTACTGTCACTTTCAAGGTGGCAAACTTGTTTACCTTTACACAAAGAAGCGGGGCAGTGTGCCGAAATGTGGTGATTGCAAGAAGAAACTACAGGGGGTGAGAATATATACAGCTTCGCTTATATATGTGCAAATATTGTGCTACTAAGAGGCTATTTTATGTGACTGACTTGCTGTATTGTTTTTAGCTGCCAGCTGTACGACCAAGAAAACTTAAACAGTTATCAAAGCCTAAAAAGACAGTTTCACGTGCCTATGGAGGTTCTCGATGTGCCAAATGTGTAAGAGAAAGGTAGCTATGATGGCATTTTTTTTCTTGTTTGTACATGAAGTACATATCCTGGTTGATTTTTGGTGGTGGTCAGCTTTAGAAATGCAGGCGCTTGTAAGAGCAAGAAAATCAAGCTATGTTTCTCCATTCTATTTATTTGCCTCCAAACACAAGACTATTGCATATACTAAAAGGTGTGAACCTTATTTTCTCACTCTGATAAATGCAATTTGGCCACCAATAGGCAATTCCAGCTATAAAATAAATTTTGATGTAGGCAAGAAGAACAAAATCAATCACCACAGCTAGAAAGAGCATGTTAAAATTAGTAAAATTGCAAAGTTTGGTTGTGAAATGTTGTAAAATGCGGGAAATATAGCCCTGCGAAATTTGCAAATTTTG